GAGAGAGCGGTGCCCAGATCTCTGTGACTCAGGTGGCTCTCCTCTCATCTTCCTTTTCTCCTCTCCATGCATATCAGTATGACACAGTGCAATGATGCTAATGAAAATGGGAAAAAAGATGAGAAAAAGAAAAAGGGTACAGAAGAGAAGAGGGGAAGAACTAGTAGTCAGAAGCAGCAAAGAAAGCTTTGGAGAGAGGAATAAATCCTGCAATGTGAGAATATAAACTGCCTCAAAGACCATCTAAGCCAGCATTCATTGGTTAATGGTCATGCCTGATGGCTTAGCTCTACCGATCTACATTTGCTAAAGTAAAAGTGCCTTTCTTCTTTAGCTAAGACTTTACATATCCCTCATTTAAAAGACTGGTCCCATGGGTGCTGCTGACTATAAAGTGAACAGGGCTATACTCATCAACCTCAGCAGTGTACTCTACGTAATACATAGATTTATGAGTACAAAAGTGCTGTGAACTTTAGAATGCTACACAAATGCTGCTGTAATTACACAGAGAGCATTAGGTTTCCCAAGCCCACCCTACCCTTATTGGTCTCAGCATGCACCTGCCTCTGGAAGATCTGTGTTACTTTAACAGAAAGTTAATTAGGTCCTTACCCCTCCCTCTGGATATTTGCCTGAGTTAGAAGTGCAGCTCAGCACACAAGCTCCATCATCCATATTAAAAGTGGGATTTTCTGACTTGGCCTGTGCAGCCAGTTGACCAATAGGTTCCAATGCGTGTTTTCAATAAAGCTGCTTACCCGGGAAGCCTTATTAAGTGAGTAAGTCAAGCTGACATGATTTCCTTTCTGATTAATATGAAACCTAGGCTGTTTTCAAAATGCAGTAACATTAATTATTTATAGGAGGTAAATGAGGTTACAATGAAAACAAGCTTCAATTACCAAAAATGATTCAAATCATATATTTATATTTTTGTAAACTCCATGTACTAATCCCTGAATTCATTGACTGGAGACTTCGGCTGCAAGGATCAAACAGCATGTTATCATGTTTTTTCTTTTCTACATCATGAAAGGTGATGTAGAATTTAATGTTTTAAGGACTAACTAGTAAACAGGAATACCCCAGTGGGGTTTATTAGATTCTTTTACCTAGTAAACTCTATATCTAGAAATGACTCAAATGGTCTGAAAACAGTTCCAATTCTAGTAATACTGAATATAAGATGTTTACTAAATCAGTAGTTTCTATTTCTCATATAGTAAATTTTTCATGTAAAACATATCAAACAATATCTGTTAGGCAAGTGAACTGAAGTTTTTAAGCTTTTTCTTTGTTTACAAAAAATAGCCCCATGGTGTGTTCACAGTCACTATATTCTCTTTTGTTTTATATTTGTTGCATTTTTCATTTTTAATAAAGTGTTTTCTGACTGTTTCATTAAAGCAATCTTGAGTAGGTTTGGGAGATCACTGACTTTTGCTTTTAACTGTTGCTATGGTCTTTCTGATATTGTGAGGTGCATGTCCGAAGGAAAGATGTGTAAAACTTGATAGGTGACCAGTAACGACTTTTCTTCATGGCCCTTTCAAGACACTGTGTCAGTAGAATGTCTGACACTCCTTACCCCTGAGAGAACACAGTGCTCTTCTGGACATGAAGCAGGCCAGCTATGGTGGTTTCATAGGAGCTGCTTGAAGTCACCTGTTGGCAGAATCAGTGGGGAACATGGGCTTGTACAAGTTAGATGCTTGTGAAACAACTCTAGGGAACACAGGAAGGTATTCTGGATGATATTGCTATAGCTTTTTATTTATTTTATGGTAGAAACTCAGAACAGTTTACTTGCTTAACTGTTCAACATATTATTTATTTATTTGGGGTTTTTCGAGCCAGGGTTTCTCTGTGTTGCTTTGGAGGTTGTCCTGGAACTCGCTCTGTAGACCAGGCTGGCCTCAAACTCCCAGAGATCCGCCTGTCTCAGCCTCCTGAGCATATATTTTATTTGGTAATAGCAAATTTATTTTCATACTGTATATTTATAATTGTTTAAAAACCATTTTCACTTTCAGCAGTTTTTCTTTTTACTTGCTGTTTGTTTATTGTTTCCGTTTTTTGTAGGGTGTAGGCAGCTTCCCCTCCTTCCATTGCTCCCAGTGCCTCACCACCTTCACTTCTTCCCCAGATCTGCTCCTCCTCCATTTCCCTTCAGAGAAGAAAGCCCCTCACCCCGCAAGGCTATCAACCTGACATGGCGTATCAGGTTATAGTAAGACTAGGCACAAACACTCATATCAAGGATGGGCAAAGCAATCCAGTAGGAGGAAAGGGGTATCAAGAATAGTCAAAAAGAGTCAGAGATGCCTTCCACTCCCACTGTTAGGAACCCCACAATAACACCACCACACTATATGACCATAACAATTTTGTAAAGGACCCAGCTTAGACCCATACAGGCCCTGATTGTTGCTTCAGTTTCTGTGAGCCTATATGAATCCTAATTAGTTAATTCTGTGAACTATGTTCTCCTAGTGTTCTAGGCTCTGGCTCCTAAAATCCTTTCCCTCTTCTCTGTGGAGTTTTGCAAGCTCTGCCTAATGTTTGGCTGTGGGTCTCTGCATCTGCTTTTATCAGTTGCTATATGAAGCCTCTCTGATGATGACAGGGCAAGGCAGCAATCTGTGAATATAGCAGAATATTATTAGGAATCATTTCATTGCTTTTTTTCCCCAGTTGTATTTGGTTCTATTCTAGGTTTCTGGGCCATCTAGCCTCTGGTTTCTGGCCATGCAGGCACTTGTCCAGCATGTCCTTCTTATGACATGGGCCTCAAGTTGGACCAGTCATTGATTGGCCACTCCCACAAGTTCTGCACTACCATATTGCAAGCAGAAAAAATTGTAGGTGGAAGATTTTGTGGTATGGTTGATATCCAGGTCCACCACTATAATCAAGCCTTGCCTGGTTATAGAAGACAATCAATTCAGGATCTATATTATTCCCCCATTAGTACAAGATTTTTTTGCAAGGGTTACCCTCATAGATTCCAAGGAGTTTCCACTGTATTAGGTTTCCATAATGCCTTCCACCATGTCCCTGAATTTCAGTCTTTCCCAATATTCCCTCCATCCTTTCCTTGCACACTGCCTGATCAGTCTTATTTCTATCCACCAGCAAAGTCTATTCTATTTCCCCATTCTCAGGAAGATCCATGTATTCCCCTCTTGAGCACTCCTGTTAATTAGCCTCTCTTAGTCTTGAATTGTACTGTGATTGTCCTTAACAACTAATATCCACTTATAAGTGAGTACATATCATGTTTGTTTCCATGGGTCTGGGTTATCTCATTCAGAATAATTTTTTCTAGTTCTATCCATTTGCCTGGAAATTTCATGATGACATTTTTTTAATAGCTGAGTAATACTCCATTGTGTAAATGTGCCACATTTTCTTTATTCATTCTTCAGTTGAGGGACATCTAGGTTGTTTTCAGTTTCTGGCTATTAATAATAAAACTGCTATGGACACAGTTGAGCATGTCCTTCTGGTAGGATGGAGTGTCCTTTGGGTGTATGCTAAAGAGTGGTATATCTGGGAATTGAGAATTGAGGAAGATCAGTTCCCAATTTTCTGAGGAACCACCATACTAATTTCCATAGTGGCTATACAAGTTTGCACTTCCACCAGCAATGGAGGAGTGTTCCTTTTGCTCAACATTCTCACCAGCGTAAGTTGTCACTTTTGTTATTTATCTTAATCATTCTGACAGGTGTAAGATGTAATCTAAGTTGTTTTGATTACATTTGATTTGAATTTCTCTGATGGCCAAGGATGTCCAACAGTTTTTTAAGAGTGTTTCTCAGCCACTTGAGATGCTTCTATTGAGAATTCTCTGTTTAGATGGGATAATTTAGTTTGTTGATGTCTAGTTTCTTGAATTCTTTATATATTTTGGATTTTAGCTTTCTGTTAGATGTGGAGATGTTGAAAATCCTTCCCATTCTATAGACTGCCATTTTGTTCTATTGATTGTATGTTTTGTCTTATAGAAACTTTTTAATTTCATGAGGTCCCATTTATTAATTATTGACCTTTGTGTCTGTGTTATCAATGTTCTGTTCAGGATGTTTTCTTCTGTCTGGTTTTAGGTTGAGGTTTTAGATCCACTTGGACTTGACTTTCATATAGGGTGCTAGATATGAATCTATATGCATTCTTCTATGTGCAGACATCTAGTTAGACCAGCACAATTTGTTGAAAATATGCTTTATTTTTTCCATTGTGTATTTCTGGCTTTTAAAAATAAAATTCAGGTGTCCATAAGTCTGTCAATTTACATCTAGGTCTTTGATTCAATTCCATTGATCAACCTGTCAATTTTTATGCCTATATCATTCAGTTTTTATTATATCCCTGTAGTACAATTTGAAATCAGAGATGGCAATACTTCTGGAAGTTCTTTTATTGTACAGAATTGCTTTAGCTATCCTATGTTTTTTCTATTGGGGCAACAATTTATATGTCCACATATTTCTCTTCATGTTATAAATTTACAAAAGAAATAATTTATGCTTGGAATTTTACTTGCATTATTTTGTGTAAAATGTCCATAAGACAAATAATCTGAGAATAAAAAGACACTAGCACCTCAATGAGTATTCATTTTTTCTTTTGTCCTAGTTTTTCTTGTAGTGTGCTGTAAACAGATGTATGTCTAGGGCAAGTCTTTGAGCCTTGGCTTAAGTTAAAATGACAGATAGGTAAAGAAACTATGAAATATGAAATCCCAACATAATTTCCTCTATAACCATGGGTTAAAAACAAATAATATGTGTCTTTTGGCAGGTTCTCATGTAGTTCAGGCTGGTCTTGAACTTTCTATGCTGTTAAAGATGACTTTTGATTCTTGATCTTCCTGCCTCCACTTCCCACAGGCTGTGATTGTAGGCATGTGCCATCATGCCTATCTCAGTTTAGATTTATATCAGGTATTTTAGAGTTTAACATTTTATATTTTCTTTTTTCAGGTTTTATAAATGGCAAAAATGTACATGAAATCTAAGGATGTGGTGGAGCTGGTCAACACACAATCCTGGATGGACAAAGGTCTGGGCTCTCAAAATGAGATGAAGGAGCAAGAGAGAAGACCAGGTTCTTATGGGATGCTTGGAACCTTAACTGAAGAGCATGAAAGTATTGAGGAAGAGGAAGAAGAGGAAGAAGATGGAGAGAAACCTAAAAGAAGAGGTCCCAAGAAAAAGAAAATGACCAAAGCTCGCCTAGAGAGGTTCAGGGCTCGAAGAGTCAAGGCCAATGCTAGAGAACGGACCCGGATGCATGGCCTGAATGATGCCTTGGATAACCTTAGGAGAGTCATGCCATGTTATTCTAAAACCCAAAAACTTTCCAAGATAGAGACTCTTCGTTTGGCAAGGAACTACATCTGGGCCTTGTCTGAAGTCCTGGAGACTGGTCAGACACTTGAAGGGAAGGGATTTGTGGAGATGCTCTGTAAAGGGCTCTCTCAGCCCACAAGCAACCTAGTGGCTGGATGCCTTCAACTGGGACCTCAGTCTGCCATCTTGGAGAAGCACGAGGAAAAATCTCCAATTTGTGACTCTACTGTCTCTGTCCACAGCTTCAACTATCAGTCTCCAGGGCTGCCAAGCCCTCCTTATGGCCATATGGAAACACATCCTCTTCATCTCAAACCTCAGCCACTTAAGAGTTTGGGAGACTCTTCATTTGGGAGCCATCCACCTGATTGCAGTACCCCCCCATATGAGGGTCCACTCACACCACCCTTGAGCATCAGTGGTAACTTTTCCTTGAAGCAAGATGGTTCCCCTGATTTGGAAAAATCCTACAACTTCATGCCACATTATACCTCTGCAGGTCTAAGTTCAGGCCATGTGCATTCAACTACCTTTCAGGCTGGCACTCCCCGCTATGATGTTCCTGTGGACATGACTTATGATTCCTACACCCTTCATGGTATTGGAACTCAGCTCAATACGATCTTTACTGATTAGGCCAGTGAGATAAGCACCAACATTTTAGAGAATGAGGTGAAAATATTTTTCATGTTTCTGGTAGCTGAGATAACCCCTCAGAGAATTTAAAAGAACCCTTTGGATATACAGCAAACATAACGGTCTAGTCCAATCAGAACCTCCTGTTCCTGCCAACTTCCTTTTCATTAACTTCTCACATTGGACCAATTCCTGTATTTGGAATCCTCAAGTGAAAATATTTGATTTGTGTTCACATGGCAATAGAACAGGGAACCAAGGCCCTGCTCCAGTGGTACCAAAGACTCATTGGATGCGATGCCAAGTAACTTTCCATTTCCAGTGTTTGTTTTCTGATAAACATAAAGCAACTCTTCTAAGACAACACATACCTTTCATCTCTCATATTTTTTTAAAAAAAAAACAAAAAGCAATAAAAGGAAATAGCATGAATGGAACGAATAAATGGAACTGGAAGGTGGCATCAGGTACATGTCTGTTGGCTCACAGAACACAAAACTTGTATGAATTTGACAGATTTTTATATCTACCTAAGCATAACTTCCAGAGCCTAATATATATCCAAGTATGTTCTTTAAGAGATTAGCTCTATTTATTGTTGTACTGAAAATTATGAACATCATTTTTAGTGATTTCAGAATCACGAGAGAAGCCTCACACAAACTTTCTTTTTTCTTTTTGGAATTAACTTTTGTTTGTTTGTTTTTGCTTTTACATTCCAACAGAAGTTTCCCCTCCTCTGTTCCTCCCAGCTCCTCCCCACCCACCTGTGCTTTTCCCATCCATCCCTCTTCCTCTGTTTATACAAACTTTATTCTTGATACTATTTTTTAAAGAACAGTTGTCTTAGTACTAGGACACTAAAATCTCTGACTTCTGTGGCTAATGGGACACAGAAATATCAGGTAGTTCATTTCCAAGCTTCAGGGACTAAAGAGCTGTGGCAATTCTGTCAATGTCTAGGTGCTTCTGTTGGAATCAGAATACAGTCAAGTTCATACTGTAGAGTAATAAAATGGCAGTTGGCTGATGTACCAGCTAAAACAAGTTAAAAGTCTCTGCCTAACACCTAGTTATTGGAAATCGTGTTTTTTCCCAAACAAGAAGAATTCAACTGTATAAAGGAAAGCAATTCAAACCATAGAGCTCCATGTCATGTATTCCAGAACCACAATTACTAATCCAGCCTGAATTCTCACAACATAAATGTAACTCCTCCTCATTTCATACCCTCAACTGATTGTTACCTCGTCCTCATTCCTAAAATACGTTACTATATGTTATTGCAAACATTTCAAGATAAGTGACTTAGAATGAGAATCAAAATTCAGAGTCAGTGAATACTTTTACCAGTTTGTATCTTCACCACAGGTGTTAATCCGTCTGAAGACTTTTATGAGACATATCTTTTTTTTTTTTTTTTTTATCCATACTGGCTCTGCCAAGTTTCTGTTTTCCAGAGAAATTCTCTCTGAGAAATTTTACTATCCTGATTCATCTCCCATAACAATTATTTAGGCCCAACCCAAGAATATAAATAGCTTATTTGTTAGTGAGTCAAGACACTATAGGAATAAATTTGAACAATATTAATGACAGATGAATATACCATTTTATCTACCAAACTATGTGTCTTTTTTCTTTATTGCTTATTTATTTCTTCATACTATAAGTTATTTTGTGTTTATCTTATTGCAGCAATTACATATATATGTATGTATGTATATATATATATAATATGTTTATGTATTATATATATATATATATATATATATATATATATATATATATACAAACTACACCACCATAGTATTCCCCCAACCCCATACACACCTTGAATTGTCCTAGTTCGAATATACAAAAATAAATATTTATAGAGTTATTCTCTGTATTTTTTTGAAAATTTAACATCACTTACCTAGAATTTATGTTTGTAGATAATAATTGCTGTCTGCATAATTTATTAGATACTATTTATTTATTTATTCCTTCTTTTTATGTAAAAAAAAAAATGGGTTCCATAGTTTGTATCTCCAGCTCCTTAAAGCTTCATTGGGAAAGTAGAGTGTAAGTTTAGAATGAGAGGAAAGGAGAAAACAAGTTCCTGATGTCTTGTGATGCTTTTACTTTTTAAAAGACAATAATTTGAATAGCTATGCAACTTAATGGCTTTAGATTTTAAAGGTACACCAGAGTTAAATTACTGTTTTTGCCTTTGAAGAGTATAGTGCATATGAACCAAGACTGTAGAATTGTTAAAAGTGATTTTATAACTGAATACAAATTTAGTACTTACTGTACCATGCTTGGAAAGAACTCATTCTTTAAATAATGTCCATTCCTTTGAGAATATTTTCGGGTAAAATGAACCAATTGTTTAAAAGAAATGACTGTTTTCTCTCCTTTTTCCAGTAGCAATAAAGCTTTGGGAGTTATTACACATTGTTTTTCTTGGCTGTTTTCATTTAGTCTTTGCATTTATGTTTGGCAAACAGTTAGCAGAGTGATTTCAGCCGGGGTAGAGGGTTTACACATTTTTTTCTCTTACATAATCTTTCCAGAAGATTTGAAAGGTCACAATTTAGTAGCTAAGCATCTCCATCACTCATACAGAAAATTATAAAATTTGCAGTTAGGGTGTTAGTTCAGCCACAGAGGGTAGGGCCTAGAAGGATGGACTAGTATCCTCAATTTAAGTGAGCTTGCCAACTTTTGAAAAAGTATGAGGTATGTTTTTTGATAATTGCCTTTTAATATCATCTGATTTTTTGAGTCTTTTCTTGATAATATTTTCCAAGTGTGTGTTTATTTTTGTTTTTTCTTAATTTACATATCAATCCCAGTTCCCTCTCCCTCCCTCCCTTACTCTCTTCCTTCATCCCATACTCCCCCACCCCACCCCCACTCCACAGGGAGGGTGATATCTTACAGGAGGGATCAACAAAATCTGTCAAGTCATTTGGAGTAGGGACTAGGCCCTCCTTCCTGCCTCTAGGTTAAGGGAGTATCCCTCCATGGGGAATGTGCTCCCAAAATCCTTTTGTGCACCAGGGATCTATCCTGGTTCCACTGTCAGAGGCCCCTTAGACTGCCCAGGCCAAGGGTTCCTCTTAAATGATAAAATGCAAATAAAAAGATCTAATAATAATGATGATGATGAATATAAATAAAGTTGGTTAACAAAGGAAAGACTTGAGCTTAAGCACTTAAGAAACAAAATGTACAAAGGAAAGTTATCTTCCAACCTGTCTCTACCATTGTTTCAAATACATTTAGTTAATAATTAGCAGAGATCTTTTACATAAACAGAAGCAAATACTTGGTACATTTATTACAAACATTGACATATTGTCTCTTCCCCTTTCTACATATGTCAGCGTAATATAGTTCCGTGTAGTGACTTAATATTTAAGCACATATCTTTAGATTTTTTTATATTTATATATTGTTACTGTGATGTTACAACTGGCTATTATTAAACAAAAGATACTGTAATTCATAAAACTAAGCTAAAGAATTTAGGTTGCAATTTTGCATGATACCTTATTTGGCAGTTACTGGAAGTCTCTTTGCTTTGTTATTACTCCAAGGAGACAATGACATCTCAGCTTATCATGTAATGCCAGGTTTCAAGTGATTTGCATACATTTATTCATTTGATCCTAAAGTCACTCCCATAAAACACTCATTTTACTATTATGCTACTCAAGAAAAATGATCTGCTCTAGTTTTCATTGCATATTAATTGTGGAGCCTGAAACAAAGTTGCTTTTTGACAAGTCACAAGTTATCTTTGACCACACTACATCTCAATCTGACCAATTACCACATCCACAACAGAATCTGAGACAGGAAAATTCTCTTCCCTGACAAAATATAAATGTTTTATTGAATGTGGCCTGTGTAGGCTATGAAGACAAGGAGAAGGTTAGTTTGTTGCTGCTTGAAAGCACCCACCATTCTTATTGTTTGCATCCATTTCATGATTTCATTTTGCACAATTTTATGATTTAAGAAAGATACCTTTACTAGCCAATCACAGATATGAAAATAAAATATATCAGCATAATAGTGTCAAATGTTCAAACTTAGCCTGCATGATTGAAGGATAGTGTAATGGTTACATCATAACATTTGAAGTTAAATAACAGTACCTTAGCTTGGCAATTTCCTGGTGAACCAATTTTTTAGAGAATACTTTATTAGTTTTTGTAACCAAACCCATGTAGATAAGACCTTACATATTTAATACAGTTGCCCCTGTACAAATAGAAAAAAATACTAAGTTCAACGTTTCTAGACCAATATGGCTGTTAATTTCTGTACAATGCCAACTCAACATGCTAAACTGGGATACTTTTTTCAAAGTTGACAGCTCAGCTAAAGTGCATTATATGTATATGTATATACACTTATATTTATATAAAAAGACAAGTAATAGCAGTATGTTATGTATCAATAGCAGCAACAGCTTTTCCAGGTTCTGCAGTCATTTGAACAAATTGTAGAGATATCTAGCACACTCCATTGGAAAAAAAAAAAGTAAAACCCAAAATCCAGAAAACAGCACAGTTCTGTTACTCTTGTGGTACCTGGCACCATTTTTTTTTTAAATTAACTTCTCAATCATCATCTGGAAAGAAAACATTCTGAACAACGCCATTAAAAACAACTCTGATAAAGCAACAACTCTGATAAAGCACAGTTGCTACTATGTATCATAAGGCAGGTACAAGCTATTTTACATTCACAGAGGTATGATGAACGGCATTATTTGAGACTTGCTTCTACTTTTCCAGCAGAGGGCCCAAATGACAGTATAACACAGCTCTGTAAAGACACACTCAGATAGGATTTTCTTTCACTAGTGGCACACTTCTAAGGATTCATTCTCTTCATGAACATCAGCTCAAAACTATTATTAGAAAAAAGAAAGAATGCCCCTAAAACAAAACCCTATAACAACTGGATTCATATAAAGATAACATAGTGGAGACGGC